AAAAAAAAAATTAAAAAAAAAAAAAAAACAAAAAAAAACCTAAGCCAAATGTTCCCTTTCCCTGTCTCTGGCTGGACCTCTGGGAAGCTGAGTCCTCAGCTGCACTCACAAGGACATGTGCAGAATCTCGTTGGTCTCCGGCTTCCAGATCCCCCGCAGCAGCTGCTCAAAGTTGGTCATGAGGGCAACGCCAGAACCTGCAGGACAGGACACTGGCAACCGGGCTGCCAAGGCCCTGACCTCTCAGAGGACACAGGATCCTAGGCTTGGCACTGCCTGATGCCCCACACAAATAGGGTGCTCCCTCCTTCCGTGTTCACTGACCCTGTGCACCCCAAGACCTGAGGACACCCTCTCTTGGAACTGAGGTCAGAGCTGCCACTGCACACCACCACATAGGATACAGGGGCATTCTGGGCATTGTGTCCTCTAGGGCTCAGCCAGTAACTTCTAGGGACCCTGGTGGCTGTCACACCTGGGGGCAAGCTGGCCTGGAACAGGAGGGACACAAGATTCCCCCAGCAAGAGATGACCAGCCCCGACATCAATGGCTCCATGGATGTGGTAGCTCCCTGGGAGGGATGGATTCTGGGGTCCCCTCTCTTTGGGGACAGAAAGCAGCTCATGGCAACTGTCTGAACCTTCCTTCCTGGACTGCCTGTTCTTCCTGGGGACACATCTGTGGCTGGGGTGGAGCTGCACCTCACTCCTAGCTCCTGCTGGCAGTTTTGTTTTGCTTTGCTTTGCTTGGGTTAGTTTTCTGGTTGTTTGAGATAAGGTCTTGATAAGTAGCCCAAGTTGGCCTGGAACTCACAGGGATCCTCCTGCCTCAGCTCCTGGGGATGATGGGGGATACTGGGCAGGTTGCTTTGTGGGGCATTCAGTGATGTCCAGGGTGCTCCACAAGGTGCTTGGGGGTCACTTAGGGGACCGGGGGTGCAGCTCAGGGTCTGCCACATATGCTGTGCTGCTGCCATACTATGGACAGGACCCTGGCCCATTTACCTTTGACCCAGCCGGTGGCGATCATGATGAACCAGCCATGGTGGTAGTGGTGGTGGGCATGGTGGATGCCCACAGCAATCTTGCGGACACGCACCACCTCCTTCATGGCCACAAAGACCAGCTTGATGGGCAGGAAGCTCACGCACTTGTAGAAGAGGTCGAGCGGGCAGAAGAAGGTGAGGTACCTGGGGAGGCCGGGTGAGTCAAGGTGGCCTTTGGCCGGCCGCATCCCCGCCCCAGCCCCGCGCGCGCGGCCCCTTACCACACGGCTGAGGCGAGCAGCACACTGGCGCTATTGCTGAAGTAGTCGATCACGGGCTCCCCGAGCAGCAGGTCGGCCAGGATGTAGCTGCCAAAGCAGTGCAGCATGGCGCACAGCCAGGATGCTGCGGGGTGGCGGCGCGACAGCTCCACAGCGCCTGCGGCAGCATAGCCGCAGTGCTGTCACCGCAGGCCGGCAGCTGGTGGTGCCCCCACGCGCCCCTCCCACGCCCAATGCCAGGGCCAGGGTGTTGGTGACTTGGAGGGAGGAGGGAGGCCCCTGAGGCTGCACGGAGGCACAGAGGGGGAGGGCCTTGGTGCCAGGCGCAGGGGCGGTGCTGGTGACACCCTCATGCTGGCCAGGGTCTCCCAGGGCCCCCTGCACCGGCCGAGCTGTGGTGCGTATGGGCACACTCACACAGGGCCTTTGCATGGAGCTGCACCCCCAGCTCGGGGTCGCTCTGTGTAGCCCAAGCTGGCCTTGAAGTTGCGGTCCTCCTGCCGCAGGCCCCAGAGTGCTGGGTTTGCAGGCCCTATGGGCTTCTTCCCACCAGCCTCTCCGAGGCTGTGAGGGCCAGGCTGAGCCTCCCTCCGGAGAGGGTTTGCACCCAAATTGCCACCCGAAACCCATCTATTTATCACAAAGGGTCAACGCTGCAATTAAACTGGAATCCTGAGGATTTAGGTTAGAAAAACCAACTTCTTGTACATTATTAACATCTTCTGTCTTAAAAGAAAAACAGCATGTGGGCTGTAGCCCACCTCCGCTGCTCTAGAGGACCTTGACCGCAGGTGCAGGTGGCCCGCCCTGTGCAGAAAGCCAGTGGACACCCTGCCAAACCAATCGCGCGCCGCCCCAGCACCTGCACCCTACCTCAGCCTTCTGGCCTCCACAGTGGGGACGAACGCTGTGGTTGATCAGCCGCCTCACGGGGACACTGTTGCAGCACTGTGCAGACGGAGCCCCTCCCCCCTACTGTGGGTGCTTTTGGTGAGGGAGCCTGACCCACAGCCCTCTGCACAGACTGGCACCCCAACCCCTCAGCCGCTGCACCATCCCAGCTGCCTGATAAACAGTGAGGAGCAGGCAAATTTAGGGTGAACTGTGACAGCCAGGTCTTTTTTTTTTAACCCCAAAATCTTTATTCAGCAAAGGCAAACAAAGCACAAAAACATTATAGTTAGAACCACTTTTTGCTCACTTAAAAGGTGTTATCCCGGCAGCCCTTTGGAACCATGTCAACTTTAGTTCTTAGTCATATATGTGAATATTGCTTTTTTGCCTTCAGCATTCAATACTTAAATATTTGATAAGGTGCCAACGTGGTAGACAGCCAGGTCTTGAGGCTACAGGGTAGACCAGGTTCTGGCCTTGTGCCCCTCAGTCCAGCGACTTCTTTTGCTCTCTTTCCCTCTCTGCTTCCTCTCCCACAGAAGCCAGACCTTCTGGTGCCTGAGCATCTCGTGCAGGAGCAGAGGGCACCAGTGCACATGAGTATGTCCGGGTGCCCTGATGTCAAGGTCCCAGAGACTGAGGCAATCAGAGATGGCACCTTCTCTGTGCTCCAGGGCCCCCAATATTCATGTGCCACTGTTGGGTGGTGTGGAGCCTTTAAGAAGTGGGGCCAAGTGGGAGGCAGTCAGGCTGCTGGGGCACAGTTTAGAGAGCTACAGCTCTTGGCCCCTCCCTCTTCCTCTGTGCCTCCTGGAGGGGACACAGCCTCCTCTGCCACCACGCCCAGGGAGCAAGCCACAGGCCCAGAGCCACAGAGCAGCGCCGCTGCCCAGAGACTGAGGCCTGAGTGGGCAGGGGCAAATTTAGGGTGCACCTGACTGACCTGGGTGTTGTCCTGATAACACACCCAGCCCTTCCACTTCTTGTAGGTGCCAAGGGGACAGGAGGAGAGCGTATGCCCTGACACAGGGTTACACCAGGAGAAAAGTGACATTTAAGCCAGGCGGCACACACCCGTCATGTCAGCTCTCTGGAAGGCTGAGGCAGGAGGATCACAAGTTCCAGCCCAGACGGTGTCTAGGACAGATGCTACAGGAACAGGGACCCAGCTGCGCCTCCAGGGGTGGGGGCGGGGGTGGGGGCACGGCTTGTGTGATTTACACACTGCTGGCCCTCGGCTCTTCCGGGTAAGGCCTCACCCCTGTGGTAGGACCTGGCTTGGGCATCTGCAGTGGCATCCTGCTGCCTGACCCTTCCACGTGCTTTGGTTTTCCGTGGTGAGTTCGGAGCCTAGACCTGCCTACACTAAGCAGGGCTCGCCACACACCTCCACCCCGGCCCAGCCCGGCCCAGCCCGCGCTGTAAGCCACTTCTGCCTATGGGCGGATACGCCGTGGCAACAGTGCTGGACTGCCTGCCTCAGGGAAACATGGCAAGAAACACAGTCGGGGCAAACTCAGTTCAGATGCAGTTTATCAGTTGTAGTTTTTCTTTTTCGTAGGGCTTTGCGTGTAGTCCAGGCTGGCCTTAAACTCACTAGATAGCCCAGATTGGCTTCAAACTCACACCAGTCCTCCTGCCTGCCTCAGCTTCCAAAGTGCTGGGAAAGCAGGCACGCACCACCACACCCAGCTCTGCCGAAAATTTTCCATCTGTAGTTGGTCAAATTCTTGGAGACAGAACCCAAGAAACAAAGAGCTGACTGACCTCACGGAGGTGGAACTCTACTTCTTTTTCTTATGCACACTTCATAATTTTTGTGTGGCTTCTTTTACTGACCACAGGTTTCCAAGGGTCACACTCTTCTTCCCCACCGTATAGTACTCCACCACAAGGGATCACAATTCATGCTCCCTCGAGTCCATCTTGCCATCAGCACACATCCCTGACATAGGTAAAGAGTAAGCATCCGGCACACCTTCATCTCTCTGCCCTGCACCAACACAAACTCAAACTCAATTTCTCTCCTCTGTACCATGTGGGACCCGTTACCCACCCTTCCCTGCCTCTTGCCTGGTGAAGACTGGGATGCCCCCCACCCCCAGGTCTTTGAGATGCACAACCCGCCCTCCCTCCCTGGCCTGGGCTTCTATTTTAACCTGGTTTCAGCTGAGTTAATCCTTTCAGCAGCTGCCAGGTCCTGTGGAGCGGTGCAGGCAGTGCTCCCATGTTCTGCAGAAAGGGATACTTCTGCGACTAAAAATAACTCCCAGGGGCCAGAGCCCGCCCGGGTCTTCCTTTTGTCCTTTGGGATCAGCCTGGGTCGGGCTGGGAGCTGGGGCTTGGAGTCCTGGTGAGCTCTGACTGGAGGGGCCTGGGTGTGTCCCATGGCCAGCGCTGCCTATATATGGCCAGCATTTGGGGAGGCTGAGGCAGGAGGGTACCATGTTCAGGACCAGCCTGGGCAGTTCAGGAGACCCTGTCTCATAAAATAAAGGGCTAGGGACGAAGCTCGGGCGAAGACCCTGGGTCCAGCCCCTCAGTACTGCAAGTCCTGGGCCCAGAGGCTGGCTCCACTGCTCACTCTGGGGTGGCCCAGGGCGCAGAAAGCGCCTGTGCCCAGCGTCGGTCTCTTGCTGTAGCAAGGCTGGTGAGAGCGTGCCCCCTTGCACTGAGTGAGGACGATTCGAAGGTCCTCACTGCTCAGAGGTGGCTGATGGCTCAGGCCTGCCCTAGGGCGCCCCCAATGTGAGTACCACGAGAGTGCCTGGTTCCAGAGCCCCGGCTGGCCGCTCTGGGACACTCGCGCAGGCCAAGGTGCGCACATGCGCAATGCTTGTTCTCAGCCGCGATGGGAGACACCGGGGGTGCGCAATTCAGGAGGTGCGTTGTGTTCCTTTCCTGGGGTGCTGGGGACAGAATCTTGGGGCCTTGTGAGTGCCAGGCAGGTCGGGTCCTTCACCAGATGGACTTTTATTTTTTTCATTTTGCAGTTGTTTTCTTTCCAGGAATCGAACTCAGAACCTTAAGCCTGCCAGACAGGAGCTTTTGCCACTGAGCTATCTTTTTTTTTTTTTTTTTTTTTTTTTTTTTTTTTTTGCGGAACCGGGGATTGAACACAAGCCCTTGCGCTGATCTATCTTGCTGGCCTTCTTTATTTTGTACGTAGTAAGTAGCTCTGTTTACTGACGCTCACAGGCTGGTGGTGGAACAGGGAGAAGGGTGAAGGGGAAAGGACCTCGAGTCCGAAGGGGAAGAGCAGGGTCACCCAAGCACTCCTGAGGCCGAGGCAGGAGGACCAGAGTGTGAGCCCGGCTCTGGCAATTTGGGGACTCGGTGAGACCGTCTCAAGACGAAAGATGGAAAGGGCTGGAGCTCAGCGTGCAGGACCTGGGCTCAATCCTCGGTACCAGAAAAGCGAAAGCAGAAGGGAAGTCTGCAGAAGCAATTTCTGGGGCAGTGAAACTCTCTGTGATTCTGTAAAGGGGGATGCGCTGTTCCATAGCGGTCCGAGCATGCTGGGGTGCTGCTCGGGGTGCAGGCCTCTGGGTTCCTCGCCTGGAGCTGTGAAATGGTAATGACCACGACACTGCTCACTGCTATGACAAACGTTTTGCTTCCTGGAGGTTGGCGGTGGCGAGGTGCGGGGGTGGGGGGTGGGGGGGGTGTGTGCTTGTGGGAAATCGACACTTCAACACTTCAGCTTTTTTTTCTTTTCTTTTGTCTTTTTGAGACAGGGTATCTTATGCAGCTCTGACTGGCCTTGCACCCACTGTGTAGCCCAGGCTGACCTCGAACTCCCAATGATCCTCCTGTCTCAGCCTCCTGAGTGCTGGGATCGCTGTCAGCTTTCAAACATGTTGTACACTTGAAACTTCTTTGACGTGCTCTGTAGAGCTCAGCAGCACAAGACCTCCCTGGCAAGTGGGAGGTCACAGAGTTTCAATTTCTAGGGCCAACTCCTACCCCCATAACAAAAACAGCTGCTCTAAAAAGTAGTCTGGCTGGGCATGATGGCACACACCTGTGACCCAGGACTTGGGGCGGTGAGGCAGGAAGATCACAGCAAGTCTGAGGTCAGCCTGGGCTATGTAGTAAGTTCAAGGGCAGCCTCAACTAGGAAGCAAGACACTATCTCAGCAAACAAAACCCCAAACCACAACAATAATAACAAAAAGTCCAATAAAAAGAAAAAAATGTTGGAACAGAATGTCTGGAACCTTCTAGACATTCCTGGAGCTGCAAATCTACATTCCCAGCCTCTTTGCAAAACAGCCCCTGTGGGGGCCGTGCCTGGCTGGGTGTCACTGGGGATGATTTCCCCAGGCTGGCTTCCTTCCTCAATCGGCCTGGGCCCTAAAGCCAGGGGAGCTGAGAGTTCCCACACCAACAAGGCCTGGGACACTGTTGTTATTACTTTGGGTCCGGGTGCTGAAATACTCAGGACAGCACCCCACCCCACCCCACCCCTGTGCTCACCTGGTGTGGACAATCACTTCTTATCTGGGGCAGTTCCAAAGATACACCTGGCCCTCTGTAGAGCCGACCACCTCAGGGGGGAGATATTCCAAAAACCATGCCCACCTGTATCTCACACGTATGAGAGATTTTTCTAGAGCTAGTCCCTAAGGACACAGTACATTTTTTTTTTTTTTTTTTTCAGAATCGGAGATTGAACTCAGGCCCTTGTGCTTGCCAGGGAAGTGCTTATTCCGTTGAGCCATCTCCCCAGCCCACACAGTATAATGTTTGCCTTGTGTGACACTGACACTTTACACTTCAGCATCCTGGAGTTAGTACCCATGGGAGTCTCAGAAACACTGCTGGGGGTGCAGGGGACCTCTGGACACACGCAGACCAACTCTAGTGACTCTGACCTAAGTGATGCTTGGGGGAAGAAGCAGTTTCGAAAGTTGCCTGCATCAGCCAGATCTGAGCACTGCTGTCTGGAAGGTTATTGGTTTTCTTCTTCTTCTTCTTCTTTTTTTTTTTTTTTTTTTTTTTTTTTTTTTGTATTTTAGGGAAGGGTCTACAGGGTGTTCAGGGTCTCACTACTAGATTGGACTCATAGTGATTCTCCTGCTTACAGCCTCCCAAGAGCTGGGATTTGCACGCCCAGTCTCTATTGCTAACCCCTCCCCCACCGGGGGTGGGGCTGGCATGGTGGGGCCGCATGGCTGGCCTGGAGATCAAACCCCTGGCCCCTGCCCCTGTTCCTGCTTCCAGGTACTTTAATCCGGGGAGCTATTTGGCCAGCCCTCTGGAAGATTCTTTGAATGGGCAGGGGCTTAAAGGGTCCTGATGCTGTTCACTCCCTCACTCGTGTATTCATCCTGCCATTCCTGCGATCAGGCACGAAGCACCCTGCTTCCTCCTTTCCTCCTGCCTGGAGCTGGGCCCAGAGCGGCGCCAGGCCCCACCCTCCGTGCCCATCGAGTGTCTAGGCAGGGTAAGCAGTGCTTGCTTCTTTTTTGGGGTTAAGCTGACTTCAGCTTCAGCCCGTCAGGAGTCACCTGGGGTCTTCATGTTCAGATACAGAGGGGGGTTCAGCAGGTCTGGGTGGCACCTGGGACTCTGATCCTCTTTCAGGCTCTCAGGTGACAGCATCAGGGATCCCCAGAAAGCCAGAGTGGAAAACTCCAGTGTCCTGGTTACCACTTTCCCTGGAGCCTTTCAAATAACTGTAACACCCACCTGGGATACTCCAGGCCCTGCTACTGACCAGGTTCTTGGAAGGTCTTCACAAATAGGCAGGAAGGCTGAAGCAGGAGGATCGCCTCAAGTTTGAGGCCAGCCTTAGCTCCAGAGTTCAGTTCAAGGTTAAGTCTGAACTGCATAGTGAGACCCTGTCTCAAAAAAAAAAAAAAAAAAAAAAAAAAAGCTTGTGGCGGTGAAGGGACCAGTGTGATGTTTACCCAGCATTAGGGGCAGAGCTGACTCCTACTTTGGAGATTAACTTCCTTAAAGCTTAGCTTTCAGGAGCCAGAGCCAACTTCAGGGTACCTTGGGCTCAAAGAGGCTCCAAACTTAGCAATTCTTTATTTTTGCCCAGATTATCATATTATACTTAGCCCTGAAAATTCTGCTTGATTGTATGTTCTTTGGGGGGTAGTGGGAATGAACCCAGGGTCTTGCACGTGTTGGGCAAGTGCTTGAACTCAGGACCTTGCACATGCCAGGCAGGCACTTGTGCCACTGGGCTATATCTGCAGCTCTTCTTATACAATTTTGAGACAAGGGCTTGCTAAATCATCTAGGCTGGCCTTGGAACTTGTGATTTTGTGAACCTCTTGCTTTAGCTCCTGAAGTAACCTGGGTTACAAGCATGGGCCACTTCATGGAGGCCTTGAAAATTCTATAGCTGGCACTGCACCCCACATGGATTCTAGGAAGTATTTACAAACAGCCAGATGTGGCAGTTCAAGCCTGCAAGCCCAGCATTCTAAGAGGCTGAGACAGGAGGACAAAAATCTGAGCCTAGCTCAGCAACTTAGTGAGATCCTGTCTCAAAATTTTTTTTCAAAAGTGCAGGGGATGGGGCTAGGGAGATGGCTCAGTGGAATAAGCACTTCCCTGTCAAGCGCAAGGGCCTGAGTTCAATCCCTGGTTCAGGAAAAAAAAAAAAAAAAGGTGCGGATGTGTGTGTGTGGATGATGTAGGAAAGCACACACCTGTTTTTTCAGAAGCTGAACACTGGGGGCAATGGGGTGGGGTGGACATGCAATCTGACCCCTCATTCTCAGGTGCTGGGGAGGAACCCAGGGTACCCCACTGGGCTCACACCAGCCTGGAGGGAGCTTTGAAAACCTGCAGACTCAGGATTTTAGCTCAGTGCCACAGGGCCTGCCTGGCAAGTATAAGGTCCTGAGTACGATTCCCACTACACTCCCCATGCCAAGAAAAAAGAAAACCATGCCACAGGGCCCTGGCCCAGGGTGTGCTGAGCCTATGACTGAGTCCATGTGTGATGGTGTGCACCTGTAATCCCAGCACTGGGGAGGCTGAAAATAGGAGGATCACTACAAGTTCGAGCTGTGTAGTGAGACCCTGTACACACACACACACACACACACACACACACACACACACACACACACGGAAACCTACAGGTGTGTCTCCTGGGCAGCCAGTGCAGAGAAGTACTCCCTGATCTTTGTGACACTGAACCAAGGCATTTTTGGTGCAGCAGTTCAGGCCGGCCTTGGGCTCACTTTTGTAGCCCCCAGGCTGGTCTTGAACTCGCAGAGACCCTCCTGGCTCAACTTCCTAAGTGCAGGGATTACAGGTGTGCTCCACCTTGCCAGGTTCCAGGGCCTCACGGTGGGTGCCCAAAACCCAGCCGAGGCTGCACGGCGTGTGGGCCTGGGGATCAAATTTGTGTCCTTACTCTTGCTGCATTCTGAGCTGTCTCTCCAACCCCACCTCCTTCATGTTAGATTTTCCAAGAGGTGCTGGATTCTGCAATTACCCTGTGCACTGGCAGAAGAGGCACCAGCAATTTTCCCTCAGACAGGAACTAGCCCCAGGTTCAAGTCAGGGCAATACAAAACTTATTCTGCTTTGCAAAGCAACTGCTTTCTTGAAGATTAAAGAAACAGACTCTGGCAGGTGGGTAGGCAAAAATAGCATCCCCACCCTTGACAGTAGACTTCTCTTGTTTGCGTAAGAGCCTGCCCTCCCATCTCTAAGTGTATGGTATAAATGCAGACCAGAAAACTCTGGAAGAAGGGCAGCGAGAGAACTGCGTAATGCTGTTTTCAGCGTGCATTTTAGTAAACATGAGTGCTTGTTTTTGTCATCTGAAAAGGAATAAAGCTATTGCTACTGGGAGAAGAGAAAAAGACTAAAGCTATTCTTGCTCTGAGATACAGTCACAGCCTACACCCAAGTGGAGGAAGGGACTGCAAAGTTGTTTTTTAAATCTCAAGCTAAATTTTTCTCTTGTGCATTGCATGTGCTGGTGAGCTACAATGATTAAACTACTGGAGATGAACAAGAAGCATCTGCTGCTGGTGAACCTGGTGTAAAAATAGAACGCGTTCCAAAGAGGCCATTTGTTCTCATTTTAGAAAAACGTTGGAAGGGAATGGAAGCAGTCTGTCCTTCCTCCTGTATCTCCCCAGAGGGTCGGAGGCTCGACAGGAGACTGACCCGGAGTCACCCAGCCCGATGGAAAGGATCCGGGAGTGGAAAGGATCCCAAGCCATGTTGGAAGGATTCCCACGGCATTGGGCACCGAGATTCTGCGCGGGGCACAGAGGGGACAGGAGGGGACACCGGTGTCACTTTCCCTGAATCTGATCACGGCCACCAGCGCCCTGGCCTTATATAGGCATTGGCAGGCACGGCGTGTGTGCCAAGGGCGCAGAGAAAGGTCATGGAAGGGGCGGCGGGGGCCTGCACGGGTCTGACCCGCTCCCCCTCTACACGTGTGCGCTCTACCCCACGCATCTCCACCCGCGCCCCGGGACGAACCCACCACTGCCCCGATCTCTCGCCCAGCTCCCCGGGGCTATCCCGCCTCTGCCCCAAAGCCGGATGCCCAGCCCTGGGAACTCACCAGGCTCATACTTGAGGTAGAGAAGGGAGACGATGAAGTAGCTGAGGTCGAAGACAGGGAAGAGCGGTACCCGGGAGAAGCTGAGCGCCAGCTCGCCCAGGCTTAGCGCAGACAGCAGCTCCATAGTGATCGTCAGCCTGCCCGCCGCGGCCACCACCGGGTGCCACCCGGGCCGGGGTCCCACCGCACTTCCAGCCGCGCGCAGGCCCCGCCCGCCCGCAGGCCCCGCCCGCCCGCAGGCCCCGCCCGCCCGCAGGCCCCGCCCGCCCGCAGGCCCCGCCCGCCCGCAGGCCCCGCCCGCCCGCAGGCCCCGCCCGCCCGCAGGCCCCGCCCGCCCGCAGGCCCCGCCCGCCCGCAGGCCCCGCCCGCCCGCAGGCCCCGCCCGCCCGCAGGCCCCGCCCGCCCGCAGGCCCCGCCCGCCCGCAGGCCCCGCCCGCCCGCAGGCCCCGCCCTTAAGTCTCAGGCAGCCAACCCCGCCGTGCGCCCGCCCAGGCCCCGCCCCTATCGGGGCCCACCCCCACGAGGGGCGGGGCCGAGGAGCGGGAGGCGGGCAGTCACGCTCCTGTCATCACGGCCCTGCGGGGCCCACCCAGTGGGGGCCGGGCCCGGCGGCTGGGCCAGTTGGGTCACTGTTCTCTGTGGAGCCCAGAGAAGATGCCCCACTCAGGAGACCCCAGCATCAGGACGCGTGTCCTCTGGGACTGCCCAGTGGGGACCCCGCCTGTGCCTTTTCTGGAGTCCGGAGTTGGAGCGCTGTGTCACGGAGCCAATCGCACCGCACCCCGCACCTGGACAATCCGGCGGTCTGGGTTCCGTTTTTCTAGAAACCCGAATCTCGATTCCCGAGAGCGAGAGGCGCCGGGCGCCGAGCGTCCGTTCACGCACTCTGACGCATGCGTGGCACTTGTCAGAGTCGAGAAAGCCGCGGCCCAGAAGGCACCGCCCCTCGGGCGACGTCCTGTCCCTCTTTCTTGTCTCACAGGGCCTCCCAGGCGAGGGCACTCACAGTCTCCTTACTCTCAGAGGGCGGGAACCGTGTCCTGGCCTTCCATTGGTCCGACCCGCGTCACCGTTGTGTCGGGATTGGCCAGCTCTTGCCCCTCTTCCCGCCCTTCCTGAGACTTCCGCTTCCGGTTCTGACGGCTGCTTCGGGTGTAACGATGATCGGAGATATCCTGCTGTTCGGGTAATTAGGGGCACCAGATGGGGGGCAAGGAGAGCCAGACAGGACGGGGGACGCACTTAGTAAACATAATTCTCCTTCCTCAGGACGCTGCTGATGAACGCTGGGGCCGTGCTCAACTTTAAACTGTAAGTAGGCCGCGCTGCGTTGTGGGGCCACCCGAGAACTCATGGGCCCGCCCCCCGAGTGAGTGCAAGCCCGCCCCTCGTCGCAGGCTCCGCCCACGTCGGAGTGCGCCCTCTGGCCACGCCCCCGCCCCGCCCCCGCCCCCGGCCTGCCCTGGCCTCCTTCCGCTCCGCTGCACCCGGGCCTTTTAAATGCCCATCTCTGGTGACCTGATTCCGTTCGCAGAGAGCCTCGGGCGCACCCCAGTAGACAGCACTAGTGCAGGCCCTCGGCCCGCTCTCCCTGGTCACCTTGTCGGTCAAGCTGAGATGGGCACAGCAGATGGTTCCCAGAGAGGGACATTGGGCCGCCCGAAGCCACGAGCAGGACAGCCGCGGGGCTAGAGCTGGAGCTTAGGTCCGTGCCTGATGAGCTGATGTCAGGGTCAGGACACCGAGGGTCTTCCTGTCCAAGTGAAAATGGAAATTGTCTTCTCTCTGTAGGAAAAAGAAAGACACTCAGGGCTTTGGGGAGGAGTCGGAGCCCAGCACAGGTAAGGTCTTCTTTCTAGACCCTGGATATGTACAGTAAGCCTCGAAAAGGACCATTCTTTCCTCGTTATTCGGGCTTCCGATTTTTTTCTTTAACTGATTGTGTGCGAGAGGGGACTGGAAAGAGGTGGGTTGATTGAGCGCTGCTTCACCCGCCAGTCCTCTCGGCTGAGATAAGCTCTTCCTGCCCAGTGTATGGCCCTGCTTTTAAGAATGTGGGAACAACCTCACCAGCAGTTATTGCTTTCAAAGCATGAGATCTTTGTGGTCCTGTAAATTAGATGCGAACACTAGATTTTTAATAAATTAGGAGTTTTTGTGTAAGAGCTCAGATGTCTGATTTTTCTTAAGAAATCAGTTTTTGAAATTTTTTATGTTTTTGGTACAGGGTCTCACTATGCAGCTGGGACTTGTAGTTATCCTGTTTTCAGCTGCCACCATGCTCAGTCTCGGTGGCTCAGCACACCTGTGGTGTCAGAGATAGAACCCCGGTCCCTGTGCTCGCCTAAGCAGGCGCTTAAGTCCCTGAGCTATCATGCTAGCCCAGAAATCAAATTTTTAAAAATGGCTCTTTAAAACGCTTTGGGGACAAGTGTGATGGTGCATGCCATCTGGGAGGATGTGGCAGGAGGATGACAAGTTTGAGCCCCGCCTGGGCAACTTAGTGATTTAGCAAGGCTTTGTCTTAAAATAAGAAAGGGCTGGGGATGTAGCTCCGTGTGTGGGTCCTAGGTTCAATCCCTAGTGCCACCACACACACAAAAAGAAAGATTGCATTCTGTATGCATATGTAATTTCAGCTCCTTGGGAGGCTGAGGCAGGATGATCATAAATTTGAAGCCAGCTGGGACAATTTAGCAAGACTGTCTGAAAATATTAAAGGGACTGAGGCTGGATAGAGCACCTCTGCAACTTGGAATTGTGGGGACCTCTTGGCACCCAGTGAGAGGGATTAAGATGTAGGACTCCACTGAGGCATGGCCTGTGGATTACTCCTCACCCTGGCCCAACCCCTTCATGTTATTATCTCACCCACCCAGCTCCCAGTGCCTCAAAGACAAAGTCAGCTGACGCTTATTGAACAGCTGCTGTACTGCCTGCTACTGTGGTGGGTGCTGGGTTGAGTGGGGGGAGGGCAGATGTGACCTGAGAGAAGTCCCTAAATAAAGAAGGAGCTGTTAGTGAGGGAGCCTGGGACACAAAGGAGCATGTGGCAGGAAGGGCCTTTGAGGATGTGGCAGAGGAGGTGGCATTGCAGGCCCTGGGTGCTGAGCGGGAGTGGGAGCATTGCCCGAGGCAGATGGGACACTTAGGGGCAGAGGGTTGGAGTGGTCTAGAGCTCCCCTCTGTTTGTTGGCTGCCCTGTTGACTCATCCATCCGTGAGTTCTCTCATCCATGCATCCATCTATCTGTAGATCCTTTCACTGGTGACTCATCCATCCATTGGTCCATCTTTCCGGCAGCCCCCCACCCGGCAGGTGTCTTTTGTCCACTCAGGAGGGGGAAGGCATAAGTGCTTGGGAGCTGAGATGGGTGGGAGGCCCCGGGTTCCTGGGCCTTCATTTCCCAGGAGGTTGTGCTCTCACCCGTGCCCCCAGCTGGGACTGCGGACCTGCTCTGACCCTCTGGGCCTGACTGACTCCCGCCCTCGCACGTGGATGGGTCTGCTCATTGCCCCGACATGCCTGCCATCCCCATGTCCCTGGAGTGAGTGGACATAGGCAGGCTGGCACTGTGCCAGGATGGGTGCAGAAAGGCAGGACAGGATCTTAGTTGTGGTCATCGTCTATCCTGCTTGAGGCAGCCTGAGCTTCCACAGTGCCTGGCTGGGATTTGGGCCACTTTGAGCTGGGTCTTGCTCCCCCTTGCACCTGCTGCTTGGCTACTGCCCACGATGAGGGACCTCCGTGGCCAGCTCTTGGTGGCCTGGTAGCCGTGGTCACTATTCTAGGCTGAGTGGGTGTGTGTCTGGAGCTGACCTGGGTCTCATGATTCCAGATCAAGGTTGTGCTGGCAACCTTTCGCTTGAGTAATCCTTTGCTTATCTTACCTGCAGCCCAGGTGTGGGGTGGCTGGAAGCTTGCACTTAGCTTGGGTTGCGTGGGATGCTGCAGGTAGCGTCTGTTGGCTTGCCGACATTCCTCTCATTCTGGAGCCCTGGAGCCCCCCGGCTCTCTGGCGTCCTGATGTACCAGATCACCTCCCTTTACAGTTTTGTTTTCGAGTGTCGGAGACCAGCTCGAATTCCTGAAACATGTGCTATTTTGATTTGCTCAAATTCAGGATTTTTTCCCTCTCTTTTTGTGGTACTGGGAGTCGAACCCAGTACGCAGGCCTTTGCATTCAGGTACATCCCCAGCTCTTTTTTTTTTTTTAACTTTTCATTTTGCAATAGGGTCTTGCTAAGCTGCCCACGCAGGGGTTGTACTTGGGGTCCTCCTGCCTCAGCTCCCAGAGTGCAGGGGTAACAGGTATGTTCCCCTGTACCTGGCCCGATGCTTCCTGTTTATTTTGTTTCCTTGTGCTGCTGATGTTGGCATGCAGGGCCTTGCACACTGGTGGCAAGCAGTCCCCAAGGAGCTGTAACTCCAGCCCTACGGCAGTTTTATTTTCCAGCCCCTTAACTTGTTGTAGGCAGCAGAGTCAGACAGAAATAATATAGGAAGTCAGAGTAGGCCCGGCCCTCAGAGGGCCCGAAGTGGAAGATAGATACCTTGCAGCTGTGGGAGAGATAGGCTGTTCTGCTGGGGGCCTGACCTCGAGACACAAGATCAAACAAATACAGCCACATACCTCCCAGCAGCGGAATCGGGGATTGACAGTCTAAATAGGTCTCTATTAGAAAGCCGGGAAAAGTCCTCAACCCAGTACCCTAGAGAAAAGCCCCCTGCTGTGTATTCATGCCTGCTTGCTAAGTGACTCTTTCCCTTTAGGTCTTGGATTTAGTCAAATTTACCTGAGCAATTGTGATTGTAATCTTATTGTTTGACCATAGTTTTGTCCCACCTCCTGCCCATGAGCTTCAACCTGCCTCACCACACGGTTTTGCTCTCTAAAAATCCTTAGAAAAGGCAGATTCCCTTACAACCTACTCGTGTCCCCTTCTGTCCCTCTCTCAGATAGAAGCTTTCTTTCCCCCAATAATATATTCTGCTCTTAACCTCCATTGTTCCCAACATTTATTCTTCAGTTTTAGAGGACAGGAGCTCATTCCAGGTGTCTTAGTGGTCAAAGGAATATTGTGTTCAGTGCCTCCGGACTCGGATGCATGCCGTTCTTTAACCTTCTCTCCGGTGCACGTCTGTCATCCCAGCACTCAGGAGGTCCAAGTAGGATTGCTGCATGTGGGAGGTCAGCCTGGGCTACACGGTGAGCTCAAGGCCAGCAGGAATAGTTAGACCCTCTCAAAGGAACAACTACAACAATAACAGAAAGCCCCATCTGACCCTCTCCAGCTCTCAGTTCTCCTTTTTTTTCTTTGTTTTGTGATCTGTGTTTGGGATGGCCCCAGGCAGGACACATTCCTCTGTAAATGACCTCGAGGTAAATATTTGCAGCTCAGTGGCGCAAGAGCTCAGCTCTGCTGGGACTACACTGAAGCAGCTCAAGAAGGGATTAACCAAGTGGTGTGGGGTTTGCCAATAAAGCTTTATTCGCTGTCATCCCAGCACTGAGAGGCTGAGGCAGGAGGATCGCTGTGAGCTCAAAGCCAGCTGGGACTGCGTAGTGGCTCTGTCTCAAAAAAGAACAAGAACAAAAAGCTTTACTCATAGACACAGACACTTGCATGTCACATCATTTTTGTCTCTCATAAAGCATTCTTTGGATTTTTTAAAAAATTTGAAAATGTAGGGCTGGGAAGATAGCTCAGTGGTGTAAGTGCCTGCCTGGCAAGCACAAGGGCCTGAGTTCAATCCCTGGTACCAAAAAAGAAAAATAGAAAATGTAAAACCATTTCAGCTCATAGACCATAGGGGAAAAATTAGACAGAAAGGTCTGGATTTGTCTTGTGGACCATAGCTTTCTGACCCTTTCATAGAGCACTGAGCTTCCTTCATAGCTATCAAACCCCTCAAAAATGAGGGTAATATCTTTTTCTCGGTAATTGTGGATGGGAGGTCTCAGGGGAGACTCTAGTGGACTCAAGTTACCTGGCCCTGCTTGAGCCAGCCAGTGTTTCTGGGTTGGTGCTGGGGAATGGGTCGTGGCTCCACAGCCCGTGTGTTCTGGGTTGGGGAGCTGAGGAGACCAAAGGAGAAGCTGGCTGTCCCAAGAAGTGGGCCCCCTGTGGCAGAAGTCAAGCACCCCATCCACAGCAGCAGAGATGTGGCACGTTAGCTGTGCCCTGAAAGTGCCTTTTGACTTTCCAGGTGACAACATCCGGGAGTTCTTACTGAGCCTGCGGTACTTTCGGATCTTCATCGCCCTGTGGAACATCTTCATGATGTTCTGCATGATTGTGTAAGTCCAGCCCACCCTTCAGTGGCGTCTGCAGAGGGACATGTGGGATGGTCATTCTGTGCTTTCAGGGCACACTGCTGTGTCGCACTTCCGTTTCCAAATCAAGACCTCTGCACTCAAAAGTGAGGAGCCTGGGCCACTGGGGTTTAACTGTCACTTAGGTCCCTGTGGGCAGGGCGCAGCTGGTGGGAAGGGCGTCTTCCAGGTCTCCACTGTGCCTGGGACCTGCACCGAGCCCATGACTGGCCCTCAGCATCTGCAGGGCTGAGCCTGCAGTGGTGTCCACTGTGGTGGGAAATGATGTGGCTGTCTGCATGCTGCTGGGTCCCCCAGCAGCCTTTCTAGAAGTGGCAGCAGTGTCCTTGGAGCTGATGTCTGGCCAAGTGTGGTGGTGCCTGTCCACCTGCAATCCAAGCACTTAAGAGACCAAGCAGGCAGGAGGAGGAGGCTGGAGGATCCCCACTGGGCAGCTAGATGCAGAGGGTGGGAGGAGCCTACCATTCACAGAGCTGGGGCAGCGCGGCAGGGCAGCCCAGGGCCAGGCAGGAAGGACTCCCTAGTGTGCCACATCCTGTTCAGTGCTTCTGTTCCTTAGCCCGTTCCACCTTGTGCCAGTGTCCCGCGTCCTGTTCTCCTGATGGGAGCTGAGTCCCCAGGGCCATGTGGGTGTTCCTGTACAGTGGGGTTCGGGGTTTCTGACAGTAGGGCCATGAGGTAGTTCAGCTGTGGTGACTCTGCTCTGGCTGCTTTTGTCCAGGGTGGTCCTGTCCAGGTCTGCAGGGCCTGAACTACTCCGTCCCTTGGCAGAGAAAGTATGTGGAGGCTTGAGGAAGCCCAGTTCCTTGACAGGGTGGCTGGGGGTAAGCAAGGGCTCTCAGGAAGGGCTGTTAGCCTCGCACTCAGTAGGCAGAGGCAGGAGGAAGGCAGGTTTGAGCCCACTGGGGCAACTCTGAGACCCCAGCTTAAAATGAAAAATAAGAAACTTGGGGGTGGTGAGGTGATGGCCCAGGCTCCATGCCCAGTGAGAGCGTCGTCTCCCTGGGGGCTTCCCAGGGCTCCACAGCCCTGGGAACCACCTAAACACCCACGGACAGAGTCCACCAAGCTGAGGGACGCTGTGTGAGCTGCTGTCATGACGCTGTCACGCGATGCCAGAAGGTTCTGTCCGTCTGTGAGGAAATGGAACAGAGTCAGGGCACTAGCCACCATGCACAGTCTGACTTCAGTGGTGTGAGCTGTTCACAGGGAACGTGGGATAGCAGAGCCAGGCCTGTGGGTGCCTGCCTGGCATCCCGGCACTGTGGGCAGCTGAGGCAGGAAGGTAGTGTCAAGTTCAGCACTTGGGCAACATAGCAAGACCCTGTCCCAATTTTTTTTAACAATCCTGGGGATTGTACTCCCTGTCTCACAGTTTTAAAAGGCTGGGGGTGTAGCTCAATGCAAAGGCCCTGGGTTCAATCCCCAGTGCTGGAAAAATAAAAAAACCAAAAAACAGAATAAATGTTGAATGTACAGCCAGCATTTTGGTGCGTGCCTGCCATTCCAGCCCTTTGGGAGGCTGAGAAAGGAAGATTGCCAATTCAGGCCCTGCCCCGGAAGCTTAGTGCCTTAGGCAAACCGAGGCTCAGCAGTAAAGTGTTTAGAAAGGCTGCGGCTGGAGCTGAGCGAGAAAGCCCTGGGTTTCTGTCCTCAGTGCCATAAAAACAGAGAGAGAGAGAGAGAGAGAGAGAGAGAGAGAGAGAGAGAGACACACACAGAGAGACACACACACAGAGACAGACACAGAAGGACAGACAGAGACAGAGACAGCAAGTGTTAAGAAATCACAAAAAAGTTGGAGCATGGGGAGCCTCTGGGCTCAGGTACTGGTGCCAGGTGGGATGCTCTGCAGCGGGCCGGTGGCCCAGACTGGGCCTGTTGTTTCTCCATCTGTCCAGGGCTGGAGAGCTGCGGCATTCTTTCTTGTTAGCTTTGGGGCTAATACTGATGGGAATGTTGGCGCACAAACTCTTTCCCAGGTGGGCAGTTTCCATTCTTGGGTACGAAGCTGTGTGTGAAGGTACTAGGTCACATGCCGGCTCAGCCCATAAGTGGAAGAACCAAAAGGCCGTTTTCTGTGGCAGTGGGGCCTGCCACGCTCCTGCCTGTGGTGTGCCAGGTCCCCACCTCTCCATCTTCCCAGCACTGATGGTCTGAGTCATTTTTATAAGGTGACCAGGAGTTTAAAATTTTTTATTTTTTATTATTACTATTTGTCTTTTTGAGACAGCGTCTTGCTCAGCAGTTCAGGCTGGCCTTGAGCTCACTTTGTAGCCCAAACTCACAAGGATCCTCCTGCCTCAGCCTCTCCTGGTGCAGGTGTTACAGGTGTGTGCCACTACGCCCAGCTCCTTCACTCCATTTTTGATTGGCCTGTTACTGGATTGAGACAGTTCTGTTCTGAATGCTAAGCCCTTATCAGATCTGCTTTATAAGTGTTTTCTCCCGTTCTGGGTTTTCTTTCTGTTGCTGGAGATTGAACCCAGAGCCTGGCACATGCTGTACCCCCGGCCCCTTCTTTTTACTTTTTGATAGCATTACTTGAAGCACAAAAGTGTTAATTTTGGTGAAAGTCCCATTTGTGTGGTTATTGTTGCACTGTTGGCTTTACACCTAAGAAATCATTAGCTGACCAAGGTTATAAAGATATGTATCCCAATTTTCTTCTAACATGTTTGGTGCTTAGTATTTCTAGTTAGGCCTCTGGTCCATCTGAATTAGTTTTCTTTTTGTTTGAGACAGGGTCTTGCTATGCAGTTCAGGCTGGCTTTGAACTCACTATGTAGCCCAGGTTGGCCTCAGATTTGTGGGGATCCTCCTGCCTCAGCCTCCCAAGTGCTGGGGTTATAGGCTGGCAGCACCACGCCCAGCCTGAGTTAGCTTTTATAGATGTGATGTAGGTGTCCTTTTGCATGTGGAGGCCCGTTGTCCCTGCACCTGTTATTCTTTCAGACTAGCTGTTTTCTTTTGGGCCTGGTGGTGCTTTCTGGGCTATTACAGGAGAGGTATGGAAAGGTTCATGCCCATGTACACAGGGAATTTTTTTTTTCTTTCTTTCTGTGCTGGGAATCAAGCTTGGGGCCTTGTGCCCGCCAGGCGGCATCTTATGCCGCTGAGCTATCTCCCCAGCCCTGAGCGAATTGCTTAATGGCTTGTTTCTAGTCATGGAGGCCACCCTTGTCTATAGTGGCTCAGAGACTAGAGGCACCTTGGTCCCTGTGTCTCCAGAGCCGCTTCGGATCCCAGACCCCATAGGCGCTTAAGCCTCTATAAGGGGGTGTCAGCATTGCTTCAACCCCACACACCCTCCCCCATTCTGGACTCATTGGCGATTACTTACAACATTAATGCTGTGGAAATGGTTGTTTTGTTTTCTTTGAGGCAGAGTCTGTATCTGTTGTTCAGACTGGCCCTGAATTCACACTGCAGCACAGGCCGGCCTAGAACTCATGGCGTCCTCCTGCACCAGCCTTCCGAGGGTGGGGCCACCTGTGTGCGCCACCGTGCCCGGCTTCATGCATACCTTGTACTGGTCACTTGTGTTGTTAAAGTAATAATGTTTTGGTGTTAGAGAACGAATTCCTGTGTGGAAAGCGCTCACACTTTAAAAAAAAAAAATCAGAGTGTGATCTGGGTCAGCGCGTGTCTCGGCCACCTTGTCCTCACAGTCATGCTTGCTCTGACTTTTGCAGGCTGTTTGGCTCCTGAGCCCCAGAGGCAGAACCGGAATCGCTGGCCCTGACGTGGACTCTGCACTTCTCATTCCTCCTAACTTCAAGGGCGATTTTAGAGCAAACCGGCGAGTGACCCAGCAGGCCGCAGCTTGAGGGGCAGGAGCTCCCAGGACAGGTTGCGTGCGACACAGTAACTCCCCGAGCAGGGAGGAGTGGCTGGAGGGCCCGGCCCGGTCTGGACCACTGCTGCGGGGCACCTCCTCGCGGGCCTCTCCCAGGGCCCTGTTTCCAGGTGTTCCTTGGTTTGCTTTTAATAATCTTCTTTTGGTCCAAATCATGTGGCTTTTTACAAATTATGTGAAGACCGGAGCAGAAGTGTCGCCCAGGCACTGCCAGGTTCCTCCCACGTGCTGCCCTGTGGCCTGACCACTAGGTCCTGCAGCTGAGGTCACTGCAGGACTTATGGCATAGGCTACCTGTTAGCCAGCCTGGGTGATGTGTCGCTGATTTCTGAGGAAGGGGAGCACAGATGGTTGGTGGTAGCTAGTGGGCAGCTAGAAGATCTGCTTTGCTTTGAATGCCTTGGCTAAATAAAGGAAACTTGGGAGCGTCAACACACAGTAATTGCTTGAGCAATTCGTTGTTTGTTTGAGACAGACCTTGCGGTGTAGTCCATACTAGCCTTGAACTGAAGGGGATCCTCCTGCTTCCGTCTCCTGAGTACCAGGTTACAGGGTATGTCACTGTGTCTGGCTCAGAAGCATCTTTGTTGGGGGGAACCCTGGCTTCTGCGCTGAAATGGAACAGTGGTGGTCAGTAGCCAAGTCCTGTGGTTTTTTGGTTTGTTTTGGTTTTTGGAATCTTGACTTGTAGGTAAAGCCGGAGGGAGGGAAAAAGTTTTTACGATTAAATCTCAGTGAAAATGAAGCTCATTTTAAAAAAGGAGCTTTGATTTGTGGTTCAGATGGGCGGTTCTCACTGTGTAGCTCAGGTTGTCCGTAAACCTGCGCTCAAGCGGTCCTCCTGCCTCGGCCCCGATTCCTGGCCTGTGACACCATGCCTGCCTCTTTGTACATGTTTTAAACCAAAAAACCAGCTTCCAGTGTGAGTGCTTCAGGTGATCTGTGGGAAACCCCAGGGGTCCTTTAGTGGCCATGGGACATCGGGTGGTGGCAGATTCCCCCTCTTGACTGTTAGTAAATGCTGGGTAGGAGTCCAGTACAAACCCTGCTGGCAAAGCGCTGGGTCATGGCTGTGTGGGATCGACCAGGGTCGCTGCTGTGCTTGGTGACTCCTCACTTGGTGGTTTGCCTGAGCTATGTCTGCCATGCCTGGTTCACTGTGAGAGCTGGACCTGTGATCTCATGGTCAGGCTTCGAGCAGAGTGTGGCTTTCCCTGATGCTGACAGGTCTCAGGACTTGTGTCTGTTCTCCTTCTTCTTTGTCTCTGTGGACCTGGGGCTGGAACCCAGGCCTCTGCCTCGAGGTGAGTGCTCACTGTGGAGCTGCCCCAGGTACAGCCTTCAGGAGGTCTCAGGGTGTTAGTGTGGTGGTGTGCAGTGGTCATCTCATCCTTGGGAGGCTGAGGCAGGATTGCTATGAGTTTGAGCCCAGTGTGGGCTGCACATGAAGTTTGGTTGTCTGAGCCCAGCATCTTGCAGCAGGAGTGTTCCTGTCTGGCTGGGCTGCTGCGGGTTCAGACCCTGTCCCTGTACTGTCCTGGTGAGACCAGCCCTCTTGCCTCCGCTCCAGCCCTCTTGCCTCTGCTCCAAGGTTCTGTGTGTCTGGAATTGGCTTGAACATCTTGCCTGGCAGGGACTATGAGGCCCCGCACACCTGACAGCCCAGGCACACTCTGTGGCTGTCACCTCGCCGCACCAGCGCCCTCGGCCTCCCTCACTGGGTTGCATCCTATCCTGGTAGTGGCTGATGAGGGTGGCACGGTTTCCTTGCTCTGGGCAGCGTGTGCTGTCCACGTGAGGCCCAGCTTCCGTCCCCAGCTCCACAGTGAGGAGGACCGGTGGCCATTGGTGGCGTCTTCCCTTCTCCTTGCCTGGCACCACCCCATGGCTTTTGTTTCTTCTCGGGCGCTGCCTTTCCCTCTGAGCTGCGCCTGGCTGGCTAGACGTGCTTTGACCCCTGCCTTCATTGCTGGCGTGGCTACAGCTGGCACAGTGACACCCACCGGGTTCCTGGGCCTGCTTCGTGTGCAGGGACTGGGACAGGTGTGCCATAAGCTGATGTCACAGTGGCCCTCACTGCCCTGCTTGTTTCTTTATGGCCCTTCACGCTGAGCTCACCTGGTCATTTCAGAGTGTTTTTTGAAATTTTGAGATCAGTCTCACTAAGTCCCTATGTTGTCAGGTTTACCTGGAGCCTGTGATTGTCCTGCCTTAGCCTCCCCAGAGAATGGGATTGATGAGAGGTGTGCATCACCTCACCCATCTTTAAGTGGCTTTTGTTTCTTTTACTTCATTTAAAAGTTCTGCGTATTCATTGTCAAAAGAAAGTGTAAGCTGCTGATTTTTGCTATCGTTTCCCAGGCTGGACTAGAACTTGAGACCCTCCTGCCTCTGCCTCCCAGTGCTGCACTCCCAGGTGTGCTCCAGCACACCCGATGGGCCGGTTTCTTATGCAGGACCATTGGAGTGTGGTACATGCATTTTCTTTCCTTGTTTTATTTTCTTCCATTTTTCAGCACTAGGGATGGGATCTTCCCATCTATTTACTTGGCAAGGGTTCGCCCCCTGTCTTCCCCCAGACCTTTATATTTAATTTCGAGACAAGGTCTCGACTAAGTTGCCCAGGCTGGGCCTGGACATGAGATCCTCATGCCTTGGCCTCCCTGGTAACTAGGAGGAGCAGCAAGCTTACGCACATTGTTCACGCTTCCTGAGACCCACTGCTATCTCCACACACTGTGCTCTGGAGCCTGAAATGTGAGTCCCTTGCCTGGGAGGGAAAGGCGCTGGGCCGCAATACCTTGGAGGCTGGGACGTGGGCGTGCACTCAGCACCCCGGCGTGGCCAGCCGTTCTCCTCCTTCCAGTGTTTCCGCTTCCTCAGAAGCAGGTCCGTGCCTCTGTTGAAACTCTAGTTCAGCCTTCCCAAGTGGACGGGAGAGCTGCTGGGAGTCCACCGGGCTGTTTCACCTTGCGCCCTTCCTGGTGCTGAGAGCTCCCAGAAATGGAGTGTGGTGCCAGCTCAAGGTCCTGGATGAGGAAAGGCCCCTGCAGACTGCTGACGAGTAGGAAAATGGTGAGGGCCGGTGTGGACATGCACACCCATCATGCTAGCCAAAAAAGATAGTGGTGAGCTGGGTGCAGCTGTGCCAGGCTGAGCGTGGGGCAGGAGGCGCAGAGGGAACAGCAGAGGTGAGACTGGGCCAGGATCGCCTGGTGCTGTCACTGCACATCTGTGGCCTGTCGTCTTCTGCCTGACACAGGCCAGGTGCTCGCTTAGAGCACTCGGAGAGGCTGAGGCAGGAGGATCTCAAGTGCAACTTAGGGAGACCCTGTCTTAAAAAGTATACACAGCTGTTCTTTAAAAGTGGGTCAGGTAGCTCAGTGTAGAGGTGCTGGCTTCCGTCCCCAGTGCCTCCAGCGAGGGAGGGATTGCCGGTTTGTTTGTTTGTTTCTTCCATTTTTATGTATTTGGTAGAGGGTCTCACTACACAGCTCAGATTTGTAGTGATCCTCCTGTTTTCAGCCTCCCCAGTGCTGGGATTACAGGTATGTGCCACTGTGCCTGGACTCGGTCATTGGCCCAGTGCGCCCCAAGGGGTGGGGAGGGAATTGCCATTCTTACCAGCACCTTGGCCATATCAGTGGGTACCTGGCTGCTATCTGGTGAGTCTGCCTGGCCTGTGCTGGCTGGCCACCTATGTCATGTCCCCAGTGTCCCTGTCTGTGCAGATCCCACCTGATGCCTGTGTCAGAGGGACTAGGGCCCCATCCTTCTGACGGAATTTAACCGTAGCTACCTCTGGCACTCAGGAGGCTGAAGCGGGAGGATCCACACATGCATTCCGGTGGCGTGGTGCTCCGGGCTTCAGGAGGACTAGGAGGGCTGGCTTCATCCCTAAGAGCAGGCCATAGCACAGAGGGTCAGGCCACAGCTTTTGGGGGTTGATCCTTTTTTTTCAGGGATGGGGTAGGGGGCGTACTTAAAGGGTGGGGGTTGGGGGGTGGCGTGTGATCTTGAGTGACAATGCCAACTTGATGTGGTTGGCATGTGCTCATAGTCCTAGCTACTCTGGAGGCTGAGGCAGGAAGATTGCAAGTTGACCAGGCTGGGCTACCAAGTGAGATCCCACCTCAGAAAAATGACAAGAAGCAGGTGTGGTCCAGAAAGGTGTGGACAGTGTGCCGTGGACAGTGCTGAGGGAATGGTGGCCTCCCTCCCTGTGGCACCTCAGGCTTCAGGTCCCCATGAACCCTCAGCGGTGCTGGGCAGTGGTGCTGCTATGGCTTCGGTTGCTGTGACAGCCCAGAGCACTTTCTCCCCCTTTTGTTCCCCTCCCTCTCTCCCTCCGCTTCTCTTTCCCTCCCTCCCTGTCTTTCCTTTTGTGTGTGCTGAGGATAGAACCCAGGGTCTCATGCATGATTAGAGGCTCTACCACCCAGCCCCTCCCCAAGCTCTTCCCTGCCTCTTTCCTGGTACTGAGAAATGAACCTAAGGCCTATCTTATTTATTGAGTCCTCTTTCTGAGACACAGGGTCTTGCTGTGTAGTGTAGGCTGGCCTTGAACTCACTTTGTAGCCCAGGCTGGCTTGAACTCACAGTGATCCTCCTGCCTCAGTCTCCTGAGCACTGGGGTACTGGGTGTGCGCCTCCCACACCTCGCTTTTGTCTTGTCTGTTTTGGTACTGGCAGCTGAACTCAGGGCCTCACCCTTGCCAGGCAGGTGCTGTGCTGCTGAACTATATCCCTGGCCCCCATTTATTTTTTTATCTCCAGCCCTTTTAAGCTTTATTTCTCACTAAGTTGCCAAGTTCACCGGGCTGAACTTAAACTTGCTGTCCTCCTACCGCAGTCTCCTACACTGTTGGGATTTCTGGCCTGGGACATTGATCCTGGCTTGGGAATTTCTAAGAGGGGAAGGTAGACTAGTACAGCGATTTCCCATGAGCCTGTGCTGGGTGAGTTTTGAGCCTTTTACTGTACTTCAGTAATCATATGTACCAGGCATGTAATTCCCTTGTAATTAGGAACACACACACACACACACACACACACACACACACACACACACTCTCCCAGCATGTTTTGAAATTTAAAAAGAAGTAGGAGTGGGGCCGGGGAGATGGCTCAGTTGAATAAGCACTTCCCCGGCAAACGCAAGGGCCTGAGTTCAATCCCCGGTTCCGCAAAAAAAAAAAAAAAAAAGTAGGCGTGAGCCAGCTGTGCTGTAGCCCGCCTGTCACCCAGATACTCAGGACCTTGGAGCAAGAGAGTCAGAAGTCTGTGCACAGCCCAGGGGTCTTCTGTGATTTCAGGCCAGGTCTCCAAGTCCCCGAGTCACCTTCTTCTGCCTCAGCATCCCAGTGTGCTGGGAGGACAGAGGATGCCACTGCACCGCTCATACTTCATCCTCGATGCCTTCCATGGCTGTGCCTGAGACTCCACTCCCTGCAGCCCCAGCTGACATCGTCCCTGTGCTGGTGAGGGCGGAAGTCGCGTCCCCCTAGCTCAGCCTGGGCTGTCAGCGGAGTAGGTGTGGGCAGGGTCCCCGGCCCGCCTCCCTTCCTTTCAGGATCCTGGTTACCATTGTGGGGTGACAGCCAGGACTGGGCTCTGCAGTGCCAGTGCACCCCCTCCGAGCAAGGTCCCACCTTCCTGCAGTGCGGCACGCAGGCATCCGCACATGAGATGCTCTGTCCTCAAGCCTTTCAGTGCGAGGATTCAGTCTGGACGGTTCACCGTACCACACAGAGCCTGGCTTGACACTGTCCTTAGCACGCATTCTCAGGTTGGGGAAATAGCTCACTGGTCTGAACGCCTGCCTGGCAAGCGCAAAGACCAGGTTCAGTCCCCGGAACAGCACGTGGTGTGCCATGCTGGTCCCAGAATGGCGTGGTGCTGCATTCCTGTAACCCCAGGGCTGAGGGGACTGAAACAGGAGGATCACGACAAGTCTGAACTGTGTAGCTAGACCCTGTATCAAATAAATAAAAAAATTTTAAAGTCATTTTCAGTGGGTGCACTGACTGCAGACTGCACCTGTCCGGCCACTCAGGAGCTAAAGCAGGAAGGTCGCAAGTTTGAGGCCAGCCTGGGCAACTCTGTGAGACCGCTTGTTGAAATAAAGAGAAAAAACAGAAGGCCAGGCTGGTGATACAGGTCAGCAGCACAAGTGCCTGCTGGGCATGCACAAGGTCCTGAGTTTGAGTCCTGGTACCAAAAGAAACAAAAACGGGCTGGGGTGTTAGTTCAGCAGGAGCGATTGCAGGTGTGGGGCCCTGGGATCCTTCCTAGCTCTGCCCAAGAGAAAACAAGCCATTTTATTGTAGCAAAATACTGAAACATTCACAGTTGGACAGGTGAAGAGGGAGGCCTTAGGGCAGGCTGTCATCAGCTGAATCTGCTGTGACAGACGAAGTGACTGTGGTCTGGGGGCTTGGGATGCCCGAGGACACATTGACCAGTCCCCGACTGATGTTCCCTCTGTGGCTGCCCTGGTAGCCTGTGTAGCACCCAGTGTAGGAGGCAGCAGGCTGTGGGCCAGATGCACTGGGAGACATGGCTGCTGCAGGACACCAGTGCAGCCTTCGGTCTCCACCTCGGGGTCCTCCTGATGGGACACCAGGGTTCTTCGGTTACTGTCACACCTGCAGGTTCAGTGGCCTGGGAAGATGAGGCAGGAGGCTCTCTTAAGTGATTTAGGGAGACCCTGCCTTAAAGCTATCAGTAGCAGGACAAGGGCGGGCTGTGATTTGGGTTGGGTTCCCATACTGTTATCACCGTTAGTGTTTTGGGACAGGGCTCTGCTGAACTACCCATGCTGGCCTTGACCTCCAGATCCTCCTCAGCCTCCAAGCAGTACCACACCTGGGCTTTTCCTGCTTTCTCTTAGCTAAAGGGAGTCACAGCCCAGCCCACATGAAAGGGGACTGACAAGGGGACTTGGGTGGTGTGGAGGTCTGCCTGGGAGGCCCCCACATGGACCCTGAGGTGTAGTAGCTTCTTAAAAAATGCCACTGCTTGCTATTACTGTCACTAAGAACAGTGGCACAGAACTGGGGTGGTAGGGAAGGCCATGCTGCTCGGATTAGAGCTGCACCCAGCATTAGTGGTTGGCCCATACCTTGTCCAGCCAACTTGCGAGATTAAGTATGGCTTAGCCTGCTGCCCACAGCGGAAGTCAGGGCTGCAGGGCTTTAGACCATGGCGGCCCCTGAAGACAAGACACATGGTAATGGGCAGTGTGTTCTTCCTTCAAAGGCAGCTACAGCTAAAGGTGGTGGTGCCCACCTTCATCCCAGCTTATGGGATGCTGAGGCATGAGGATTGAGAGTTCAAGACCAGCCTGGGCTACAAAGTGAGTTCAAGGCCAGCCTGAGCTGCATAGCAAGGCCCTGCCTCAGAAAATAAAAACAGCAAAGAACCAAAATGTGTGGGCTGTCCTGCCAATCAGGACTATATTTTGTTTCCTTTTGGTATTTTTTCCCACTATATCATTTGTGTGCGTGCATGTGTACGTACATATTTACACATATTGTAACAAAACTAAAAGGTAATAATGTATGTCTTATCACTTAATATTAAATTGGAGCATTCTGCATTTCTCTGCTGTTCTTTACTGGTTTTTCATATCTACAGCTCACAAAAGTGTGTGTTTTGTTTTTTGAGACAGGGTCTCACTCTAGTCCAGGCTGGCCCAGAACTCAGTGATCCTCCTGCCTCAGCCAGCTGAGCGCTGGGGTTGCAGGCATGTGTGTTCCTTTTTTTGCTTTAGAAGTTTACTTTTGGCTCATGTGCATGATGTAATGCCAGGCGTCAACTCCAGGGCCGCATTTGCTGCTCGCTGCTCTGTAGCCTGTGCTCCTCGGAACTCTCCCTGTCACCTGGAGGCCACCATTGGGGAAATCTAGAAGGTACACCAACCACCAAGGGTGGCCCCTTCCAGCCCCAGTGACCCTGGAGTGTGTCCAAGTCCTCCTGCTGGATCCTATGGTTGCTTCGGCCTCTGCTTTTTAGCACACCTGTAATCCCAGCACTCAGGAGGCCGAGGGAGGAGGATCACTGTGAGATTGAGGCCAGCGGGGGCTATGCAGTGAGTTCAAGACTGGCCTGAAGTACAGAGTGAGACTCTCAACTCCAAATAATAATAAAAGGGAGTGTTACTGAGGAAGAGCCATGGTAGCAAGAGGCCTACCCCACCTTCGCAAAGTCAACAGGAGTCATTTCAAGATCTTCCGCAGAGCAGAAAGCAACCCAGTGAGGTGCGGTGTCTCCGGACCTTGCAGGAGCTGCTGACGCCCTATCCATGCATGCTCCACAGCCCCACTTGGGTCTCTGGCATGACCGTGTCTGTTCCCAAGCATTCAGCTCTGAATAAAGCAGAGTGCGCGTGTATCTGTGTGTGTGTGTGTCCTTGACTGCAGAGGCTTGGGCAGGGTTTTACAAAGGGTTTCATTCATGTGGGAAATACTGAAGACCTGTGGTGTCCAGATCTATGGGGTGCCGGGAGCCTGTGCCAGGCTGCAGCTGAACAAGGGCCCATTTGGCCGGCCCCCCGCCCCCGGGGCTGCCCTACGCAGAACCCTTGCATGTTAATGCTTCGGAGTTTAAGAACCTCAGAAAAGCAGGTAAGTTGAGGGCTTTCCATCTCATTCTTAACCTGACCTATGCCAAATAATTCGCTTATCTCTGTGTGGTCCTCGCTTTTAGTTAAAAAAAAGGCTGCCACAAGGTGGAGTTGGAAGAAGAGCTGATGAGACCTGGCAGCGCTTGTTTATTCTGTTTATCTGGAGTAGATAGAGACCAGTGCCATCCGGTGGCCTGCCAGCATGGACCAGTGATGAGCACTCAGAAAGCGCCGTGTACTGTCTTCTGTGTAACGTGGACATTTTCCCACACGCAGGAGCTGCCACTTGGCAAATAAAAGTGCTTCCCAGAAGCAACTTCAAGGCGCGTTGGTGCCGCCCAGACCTGAGCCCCACATGCGTTTGTCCTAGGCGCCTGTTTGAAATAGTCTGACGGTGTACAAGGAAAAATGCTGCTTCTCCAGAGGCTGTGGGGTATTAAGTAACCCACCCTCGAAGCTGCCCTGCCCAGTGACAGACTGCTTACCTGGGCTCTGTCCCAGCACCACAAATAATCCTCTTTTGTTTTTGGTGGTACTGAGTATTGAACCCAGGGTCTTCACGCAGAGCTTGTCTCCAGCCTTTCTGAGACAAGGTCTGGCTAGGTCACTAAGTCGCCTAGACTGGGTTAGGCTTAGGTACCTGCCACCTTCCTGCCTCAGCCTCCCAGAGCACTGGTGGGGGGCCTGGCCCTAGCTCAGGCCTTTAAGTGGCTGCTTCCACAAAGCTGTCAGCCTCAGGTTGCTGGAGTTCAAACCTCACACCTCTCCCGCTGGCCAAAAGTGCCCTGAAGGCATTTGAGGAACCAAAAAAAAAAAAAAAAAAAAAAATCCAGAGCACTGGTGTTGCAAGGGATGCCTGCTCAAAGCTCCAGAGAAGAGGTGGCAAGCAGAGGACAGCAAGGGGCGAGAGGAGCGCTTAGATTTGACCTCGGCACCTCTTGCCCGTGACCTAAAACCCGGGGACCCTGGGCCTCGATTTTCTCCGTTAGCCGCAGGTCTGGCATCCCTTCTGCAGCATCTCCACGCCGAACATGGCCAAAGCCAGAGGAGCAGGACGGGGTACGTGCTGGTGACGCGGCCACCCAAGAACGTCGGGCCCCCACCTTGAGGCAGAGCGGGCCGGCCTCCAGACGCGCGGCTCTGCAGCGCACACGGAAGGGCCCCGTCCTCCCGGGGCGAGTTCACCGCAATACTACCCCGAGCGGCTGCCTCGCCTCGAGCGCGCGAGTTCAAGAGCCGGGCGCTAGCGTTTCCGTCACAGGGCTCCGCCCACCCGGTCCAGGCAGGGGCGGGGCCTCCTGGCTTTGGCCGTTGCCCCGCCCAACTGCGTCCCAACGGCTCCCAGGGCCGGGCGGCAGGGCGGGGTGGCGGGCGCTGGATGAATGCGCCTGCGCGCGCCTGCGCAGCAGCGCGGGGCGTGGTGCGCGCGCCGCCCCTCCCAGGCCTGGCGTCTCCTCCCGCCCTATCTCCCAACCTCCTCAGCGTGGCGCCGACGCTGCGTGCGGCGCGGGTTACCCAGAGTGCTCCGCGCGGGGGCAGCTCACTGGAGTTTGGTTCTCGAGGCGGTGGCGGTGGCGGTGGCGGCGGCGGCGGCGGCGGCGCTACCGCGGCTCCTCCACCTCCCTCGGCGCCGGTGGCGGCCGGGGCCCGAGCCCGGCTCCCCTCTCCGCCACCCCGCGCGCCCCCAGTTCCCCCGGCGCCGCGGGGAACATGCGGCTCCGCTCCCGGAGACTGGCTAGTGAGTGACCCCCGTCCCCCGCCTCAGCCCGCCCGCCGGCCCGGCCGCTCCCCCCCGCCTCGCCCAGGCAATGACAGCGGCTCCGGCGTCTCCGCAGCAGATGAGGGACCGGCTGCTGCAGGCCATCGACTCCCAGAGCAACGTGAGTGCCCCGCGCGCCCCGGGACGAGGCCGCGTGGGCCCGGGACCCTCCTCCGCCCCGGGCCGCCCGCCTGCGGGTCCCGGGGGCCTCGCCGGGCGCCCCTCTGTCCCCGGGGGCCGTTGCCATCTCCGCTGCTTGCCGACGGGGCCCGAGTCGGGGTGGTTCGCGCGGCCGGCGGCGTTCGGTACGCGAGGCCGAGGCTTCCGCGCGGCCTGGGCGGAGGAGCGGACGGGGCCCGGCCGAGTCTCCTGGCCCCAGCCCCCGACCGTCCACCTCGCCCGCCCCAGAACCCCAGGCTTTGAGTCCCCCCAGGGGAAAGGGGAGGGACGGCGGGGAAGCAACTGGTGTCCAGGAAAGTGATTCCCGAAGTCGGAGAGAACCTTCCTTACTCTTCCGGCTGGAAGCCCCTTCTTGGGGCCCCGGGCTCCACGCCTGGACCCGCCTTCACTAGACCATTAGGGGGTCGCCGCCTTGGTCGAGGGTCAGGGGTGCGTGGGATCCTTCCTGGGGTGCCCTGCCTGTGTCTGGCTCGGCCAGAGCCCAGCTGTGGGTGGTGGAGGAGAGATGGTTGGTTACACTTGCATTCACCCAGGAGCCCCGTTCACCTCGTCTCCTCCCCATCATGGTCTCGCCGGTAGTTTGTGACCTGATGAGCTGTCAGGGCTAACTCCAGGACCTGCCTGCGCAGGAGACCCTTGGTTGTGGCTGCTGTTTGTGGAGGAACCTACCCCGACCCCCACCTCCGGGCTTCTTTCCTTACTGTAGAAGCAGCTCACCGCGCTCTTGTCTTGTTCCTAAGGGTTGGAGCAGTTGGGGGTCATTTCTTCGGGGTGGGAAGATGCTGTGGTCTCCAGGTATGTAGGCAGCATTTTCTGAGGAGTGGCTAAGAGAGCCCTTTTGAACATGCTGGGGACAGAAGAAAAAGTCTTGGTTTTGGCCAGGTAGCTCAGGCTTCTCACTGAAGGGCCTTTGCTTTTCCTGTTCCTGAGATGAGGTTGGCCAATTTACTCTTAGCAGTGTGCTTTACTTTTTTTTTTTTTAATCACACTAGTGGCACAGTCTTGGTAGAAATTGAAGGCTACAATCTTCCTAAGGCTCTGGTTCCTGTATCATAAGTACTTGTTTTATTCCTGGTCTTCAGTCCCATAAGATTGAAACGATGATAATTGTCTTTAACAAGTACTATTGACGTTTTTGTTAGGACTTTGGGGGTGGACAAGTTGTAGGCTATATAAAACTCTGAAGGTCTTTTCTGCAGTAATTGTTACAGTTGGGGTTCCAAGGCTAAGGCATTAAAGGATAAAACAAATGATGTGAAAAGGAGCCTTGGTGACTTGGGCATCTTTCTTGGAGCCAGAGTGTCATTCTTTGACTTCCATGTGGCCACTTCTTTTGGCCAGAATCTGAGAGGTTGCTCAGGTCCCAGTGCCACTGACTTTTTGGGATCAAAAGTCACTTTGACAGGTGACTGTGGTATTATAGATCTTGTGTGGGGCAGTGCCACGGGATTTCAGTATTTGCAAAACTCCAATTTAAAGGATTCCTTGGAGTGGGAAACGTAGAGCAGGAGGGAATAGACTTTAGTTTCCTGTGCCTTAGGATACAAACATGATATTCACGTAGGCCTACGGTTGTGGTAATAGCATGTAGTGTATATTTCCTATGGCATACTTGTGGGGGACTGTAGTGACGGGTTTGTAGTGACGGGTCAGCTCTGCTGACCTAGGCATGGTGCATGGAACTGGGAAGTTTCTTTTTCCCAAGAGTGATGAGGAAAGTGCCTCCTTTAAGTGCTGTCCTTGTTGGTGACCCTCCATGAACATTGACAGGAGTGCAGCTTTGAGCAAACAACACAGCCTCAGAGAGCCTGGCATGTTAGACTGTGTGTGGTTGCTGGTGGAGGAGGGACAGTAGCTGGGATGTCTGCATCTGCAGTGTCTGGGATGGCTCCAGGCTCAGGTGAAGGAAGGACTGCCTTGCTGGGGATGACCACCACTGGGTGACTGACACATATTTAAGATGCTCATAGAAGAAAAAAAATGGGGACAGTGTTGGAGAGCCAACACTAAAATTAAACCTCTTCAGAGAGAAGCGACAGCGAATTGTGTCATGTAATGCTTACCTTTGTGGGTATGCAATTATGGTTAACAAACTCAGCTATTGCTTGAAAACTGTATGGAGCCAGCTGACCTAATATGCACAATTCAGTATCTGAAAAGTTTGGGAGGTAACACAGTAAAGTGGGCCTACTGACCATCTCCTAGCCTGGGAGTTGTTGAGAAGAAAGCTTTGTCTTTGCTGTAAGTTTCAGTCTCTGAAGTATTTGAATTTCTATAGCAGCAGGCTCAGAGTTAGTAATTTTTGCCAATTCTGTAACAAGTAAATTCTCTACTTTTCTTCTCAAAAAGTAACGTGCAGTTTTGCAGAACAATAGAAACCTTACTTTCAGCTGTGTGTGTATGTTAGCCAGCCCAGAGTGTTAAAATCTCTTTAGAGTTCAGTGGTCCTTTCCAGGCTTGTTCCTGGTCAGTGTCATCACACTGTGGATAAAGCTGAAGGCCACCTTACTCCTGTGCAGAAGTCAGAGGAGGGTCCCCCACAAAGTCTTCTTGTTATGTACTCGCTTCCTGTGTGCAGGGGTATCACTGTCCTCTGAGCTGTGCCCTGTCATCTCAGTAGAAGCCGGCTTCCTCAAGGGTGCTGCTCCTCTGTTTCTTTTCTGTCATAACAGGAGTTCAGGGCACACATTCTCCTTGCTGGTTTGCCTGGCTGGCCCTGAGGAGCTTTCTTGGACTTGTCACGCAGGAGCTGCATGTGAGCCCGTTTTCTCAATAAGCCCCAGGGACTGCAGTGCTTCACAGCTCAGCGGTGGATATTGTGATGCTGAGCTTTGGAGAATGACAGTCACAGCTGGCTTGAGCTGGTTCTTTGAGAAGCCCAGGGAACACACATCATGTTAGGGTAAGAAGCTCAAGACCAGTGTAGCGCAGGACAAGTACCACTGTGTCCAGAGCCAGGAGAGGCTGGAGAAGGGCCTGTGGAGAAGAGGGGCCTGAATTGGCCAGGGTGTCAGTAACCGTGTGCCTGCTGTCAGGCTCTGGAGCAGGGAACCTCCTCAGGACTACTTTCTTCCTACAGTGCTGCAGGCAGTGTAAGCAGGGACTCTGCAAAGACACTCACTTCCCAGCTTGGAGTAGGTGGCCTTTGATTCTTCTTCTGCAGAGGAAGGCCAGCACCTGTGCACACAGACCAGGTTTAGCCTTTGGAAAGGGCAGCAGAGGCTAATGTGAATTGTTCTGGGCTTTTGTTTCAAATGTCTGTGCAAGGTGCATTTTGTGAACATCTCCAAAGGAGACATGGTGTGTATGCTAACTGCATGTCACCCTCCTAAGCTCCATACAAGGGGTGCAGAAGCCAAAAGCAGAGTGATAGTAGGTGCTGCTCTATGGCAAGAGGAGCAGATGCTTTTGTTCCTTACTTACCTGGTGTGAGGACTGGCCCCAAGTTAGAGACTTGTCCATAGTTACTGTGTGAGAGTGCTTCTAAGTAAACATCACTAGCTTGTTAGAAAGAGAGGACTTCAGAAGGGACACGAGGTGAGGGCAGTGCAGATTATGATGATCATGCTACCCACACTTGGTGCATTCTTCTCAATCACTCCTTTTCCTGTTGGGTATACCTGTCAGCCTGGCATAGGGTTTTCATGACCTGGATGTGTTTCTTGAGAAAGTCAGGCCTATCATACTAGTGTGTGTGAGATTATGCTTCAGGTTGGGTTAACCTGGAGTGATCTAACAGGAGATGACCTGTCCTGGCTGTCATGGGTGGGGTCCTGCGACAAACAACAGTGCAGCAACTGCCCACAGACATGGAGCTGCTCAGGAATCTCTTGCTCTTGTTTGCTGTCTGCTTAGGGTGACAGCGCTTTGACCTTAGCTGAAAATGCTGCTGAACCAGTAGAAAAGATGGACTGTGTAAATCACAAAATGGAAGCCTGTTGATTGAGACTTTCCAGTGTGTTAGAGGACACAGAACCCAGCAGTGGCCCAGCTTAGTGACATTTCCATCTTTGCTTTGAGTGTCCCTTCCTGGGAAGCAGGGAAGGAGCAGAATGATATGGGTGACTTGGGGAAGTAGGAAGGAAACAAGTGCTTTGGGGAAATAGACATGAGTTCTTGTTGGACTAGAACTGTTCCTTGGAGGAAGGTGGACTTAGAGCCTGTCCTCCAGAGGTATCCAGATGTGCCTCAGATTACAGTACATGGTCCTGGCAAGAGGTCCCAGAGACCCGGGGGGTTGTCCCAAGACCACCTGGAGGGAGGGAGTTCTATCTTGGAGATCTCCTCATTCCTACACCTGCGATGCAGCTGTGTGTGATTATGGACACCTCAAGGTGCCCAGCTCAGGGAGAGCTGCTGAGAATGCAATGCTCACATCTTCTCAGGCAGAACCACAGTTTGGTGAGAACTGGCCCTAAAGTGGGTTCTGGGAGCTACAGCCCAAAGCTGGTATGGTTTTCCTTGGATCTTTGGGTGGAAACTATCCAGAGTTTTGGATCCTTTGGGAGACTGGGGCTGGAGGCTTGCTTGAACTGGCTGTCAGAAAGGCAGCTAGGTTTGGGGTTCAGTCAGCGAATAAGGCAGTGCATGCTCAGGGTGGCTGTGCCTCACACCTACACTCACATGGACCTATCTCTTGTCCTTGGGGTGTGCATGTAGACCCGAAGTCTTGAGGCTTCAGGGTATTCTGGAAGCACATTGGAGGTCCCTGTTATCTAAGAAACATGGTGATGCTAAGAGCAGAGGCTTGGCAGTTGACTGGACAGGTGGAGCAGGTGGTTGTGAGGTGGCTGCAGAGGATGCAGACCTGAGGGTGCCTGCCACTGCCCTGGGGAGGAGGCAGAGGGAAAGTGTGCAAGTGGATGAGGGCTGCAGGTGGGATGGGGCAGCCTGGCCCCTGTGCAACTCCTGAGTCCAGATGGGACAGTTTTCCTTCTGTTT